TATATATATATATATATATATATATATACTAACTAAATAATACTAACTTTTATTGTGTTCACAACATGTATCATTAACATAATTAAATAGAGCATGATTTATTTTGTTATAAAATTTAAATGTAAAATTTTTGTCAGAATTTGTGTGACTAGTAGGTTTTATTTAAATTACTGAAATTGTTTGCGAAAATTTCTGTTGCCTTCGCAAAAAATTATTATTCAAAAAACAAACGAAAAATGTATAAACACACGATTTTTGAAACATTTTAATGAATACTTTGTCTTGTTGCACAAACAGAAAAAATAATCTTAAAATAATACTTTTATAATTATGTTTAAATTCATTTTCAAAACGATTGTTCACACATTTAAGTAATAATGCAAGAACCTCATGGATTATGGTCATACTTGAGATAGTCGACGGAAGATTTAACCTCTTAAGACCCAATATAACACTTAAAAAAAATAATATTTTAATACAAAAGTAAAAATATAATTGATTTTTACCCTTGTGGGTCTGAAAAGTAAGATCACCTTTTTGATGGGTTTTATGTTAAATAAATATCTCGTTATTTCATTCTAGTGGATTTTTTTCAGTACCAAAATACGAAATATAAAAAACCTGTAATATGTAAAAAATTTTAAAAAATATAAAATTTATATTTTCATGAAAAATATAAAATAATTCAAAAATAACATTTATATTTAATTGAAATTTTTTTAAATAATTTCTTGATAGCATTTCAACTTCGCATAAAAAACAAATCGCATTTTTTTTTGCCATTATTAGACCTTTTATATTCCGGTGTTGCATATCAGCAACAAACTCAAAAGCGTATGTATTTTCACAGACGAGTAAAATTTCGGCAATTATTGCAATTCCGTAACATTACTCCTAACACATATTGTTCCAACATATTGTATCTATTGTACATATTGTATCTTTTTCTGCTACATGGCTACACTGAGTAACATTACGCCTAACACGTATTGTTTAACTTTTTTTCTTTATACTATATGGCTATACAGTTGAGAACTTTGGGCTATACGAAGTTCAATTTGTTGCTCACAAAGATGCACACGTTTTTTGCAAGAACATGACTAATTTTAAAATATTTGAATGAAAAGGTATGAGAATTGAATTGAATTTTTGAATCTTTTTGACTCTGTTGAAGAAATGCAACAATCAATGTTTTGTCATTTTGCATAGTGCTGAGGAAATGCAACAAACCATTTGTTTTCCCAATAAATTTTAGTTTTTGAAATGAAAATTATTATATTTATGTTTTTAAAATGATGTATTCTTATGTATAGCTATTTTTATTTATTTATTTTTCAAATTGGAGGTGTTGAGATTTTTAAGGCTCAGGAGGATTATTCACTTTTTGCTAGGGATTTCAATAGGGCCCTTCACAGAATGATTTCCTTCTCCCTTCTGAATGCACCTTAAAGAATGAACGATTGAAAGCTGTTCAAATGGATGAAACAAAAATGGAGGTTCACGATCGGTTCGGTAGTTCCAGATGTTTTCCAGAGGGAGGGTGATAAAAAATGGTAGCAACATTTCAACTTGAAAGCGGAGGCGTCGGGCGTCATAGGCGACAACAGCCATTTCGTCCAAAGATGGCCATAAAAAGAGAGATATTCGTGGGAAGAGTAATCCCCCGTCCTTGACTTCACTTCATTGCTTTATTTTATTTTTTATTTTTTTTCCTTCTCATTCCCAACGCGTGACGCCTTTTGACTGAAGTCTGCAGACGATGACGAAAGATCGTTTTCTTTCGACCGCTGCCTCGATGTAAACAAACAAATGGGAATGTTACAAATTATTTACTAAAACATAAAAATGCTAGCAAACACGACACACTATATTTTAAGTTATATGGGTCATAAACTATTTAATTTTTGTTCCAGATCGTAACAGCGCGTAAAAATAGAGCAAAAAAAAACTGCTGCAAACGGATTACAAACAATATTCTATTAAAAAGAATGATGCATTAAATGAGGCAAAAAAACATTACATTTCTAAATCAATGGATTCAATGATTAAGTTTTCTATTTAAACCCGCACTGCTTCTCCTAGAAATGTCTGTTTCAGGTGAAAAGACGGGGGGGGGGCTGCAAATAACAGGAGTTTGTTACATATTCTTCGGCCATACATATATTTATCAGCTAAATGTAATCGGCAAAATATAACGAGGAGTTAAAACACTGCCAGCTAAAATCAGAAACACAAACTACTATGTCGTTTCACTTCGAAAATTCAAACCAGAATAAAGAGTGGATCGGGCTCAAGCCTGAGACCCCCCTTATCACCATTTTTTTTCCTTTCCCTTTTCATACATTTTCAAAAAAATTTTGAAATTAAAACCTTTTCTGATATATGTGTACAGTAAATATATGCTGAGATGTTATGATGATTGCACAAGTCACAGCAAAACGATGTTTGTAAGTGCATAAAAATGAACACCGATAGTGAGACAACATATTGAGAGCGGAATACACTATTTAAGTAAAAAATAATATACAAAAAAGGTAAAATAGAAAACTTTTATTTATTTAGAAAAAAAAAGTTAAAAACGCACGGAATTTTCACTTTGTTTTCCTCCCACAATCTATCTCTTAAAGTTTATGAAGCAAACGTACGGGCGACCACCAGCCAAATCGTTCTCCTTACAAAGGAAAAATTCTTCTGCTATAATTACAACAAAAAAAAACAGTCGCACATTTCAAAAGAATCCGCCTTTTCATGGATCCCGCATCTATCATCCATAATAGTATTTCATTTCTCGAAGACTGACCCGTTAACCATTGAAATCAATATTTAGTATCATCAAAGACATGTAATGCTATAGTATGCTTCCTTCATTTTTTTAAGCTGCTATTTTAACATTATTTATGTGTATTTGCCTAGAGCTGTGTTTCCCAAAGTGTGGTTCGCGTATCCCCAGGGGTACGGGAACAGTTTAGATGAGGTACACGTTCTTATGCGAAATATCTTGCTACTAACAAAAATTTCAAAAACTTTTATTTAAAAACAAAGCTAGCCATGAAAATTTACGATTACGTATTTTTCTATTGGCTATTTTTTTGCAGAGTTAACAGATAATAATTAGTGGTGTCAACAGCCAGTTGTGATTTTTAACCTTTGTGCAATTTTTTATACAGNTAAGTCGTTTCACTTCGAAAATTCAAACCAGAATAAAGAAAGGATCGGGCTCAAGCCTGAGACCCCCCTCCACCATTTTTTTTTCCCTATTCATGCATTTTCAATAAAATTTTGAAATTAAAACCTTTTCTGATATATGTACAGTAAAAGCTCGATATATGATGATTGCACAAGTCACAGCAAAACGTTGTTTGTAAGTACATAAAAATGAACACCGATAGTGAGACAACAGATTGAGACACTATTTAAGTAAGAAATAATATACAAAAAAGGTAAAATAGAAAACTTTTTTTTATTTACAAGAAAAAGTTAAAAACGCACGGAATTTTCACCTTGTTTTCCTCCTACAATCTATCTCTTAAAGTTTATGAAGCAAACGTACCGACCAAAAGCCAAATCGTTCTCCTTACAAAGGAAAAATTCTTCTGCTATAATTACGAAAAAGAAAAAAAGAAAAAAAAGTCGCAAAAGAATCCGACTTTTCATGGATCACCCATCTATCATCATATCCATATATTTCCTTTCTCAAAGACTGATCCGTTAACCATTGAAATCAATATTTAGTATCATCAAAGACATCTAACGCTATAGTATGCTTCCTTCATTTTTTAAGCTGCTATTTTAACATTATTTATGTGTATTGGCCTAGAGCGGCAATCTCGCTATAACGACGATACCGTTTGCCATTACAACGAACTTTTACTCTATACGTTTAGGATTTTTGAAAAAGTAATAGGGTGTTTTTTAATGAAGAAAATGAAGGTACCATTAAAAAATAAATAAATACGAAGAGTTCTGTTCATATTACTTCTTGCGAATAACACAGAGTCCGTCATTGGGTGAGTATGTAGACATGTGATTCAATTAAAACAAAAAATACTGAAAGTTTTTAAAGATATGAGTTCCTACCTCAACGGGGTTCGTAATTTTATTTATAACACTAGGAGGCCTCGTTCCGTGTGGTTTGCTACTCCATTTTTCTACACACATTCGAAATTTCAAGTTTCTAAATCTTGTAGTGTTTGTGCAGGGAGATAACGTTAAATATCCATTACAGCAGCGGCGGTGCTTTTAATATAAACACATAGTTTCATGAACTTCAGTTTATAATAATAAGAGTTATTATGCTCAACTCCGTGGCTCTGTCAATTTTGAACCCAATCCAGAAGACAAGAGAACTCTTGAATAAGTACTCCAGAGGTATTGATTTGTTACGGGAACTTGGAGGACTTTGTGACCCCGGCAGATTTAACGTGCACCAGTCACCAGTAACGTGCACACGGGGATTCTTCGTCCGTTCCCTCGAACACGAGTCCACCCGGCCAACCAGGGCTAACCCTGCCCCAGAGCCAGGGTTTGAAATAAGCGGTCGTTATTCGTAGTTTACTCCTAAAAAATTTAATTTTAACTCCAAGGAAATTTCCTCTTTTTTCGAAGCTGAAATTCTTAAAATCCCTTTTCTTCGAGTTATACGACGTTCAAGAAGTTATGAGTATGAGGTCACCGCACACGAGTATCGGCGGGTGTTCAGACGGAAAGGTACGACATTCCAATTTGAACTTACAACGTTCGATTTATGACGATTTCATTGTAATTTTCCGTCGTTGGATGATAGTTTTTTTTCCCTACCTTCTTTAACCTGTTTACATATTCTGATATTTTAATTACGATGTTACTACAACTTTCGAATTTGAGCAATCACTTTTTGACGCGTATAGATTCGTGACTAATCCATTGTAATTTAACGTCGATAGATGATCATTTTTTCAGCTCTTTTCACAAGCTTTTTTAATATTTTTAAAGCGCAAATTTCGAATTTGAATTATACCTTTTCGACGCGTTCAACTCGCAACGATTCCGGCGTAAATCCACATCATTTTTCGAAACCGCTTTTTTCCACTTTTTTTTCTTCATTTATTCTGTATTTCCTTTCATTCCCCCCCCCCTCTTTTGTTCTCTGTATCTACGATGTTTCATAAAACGATGATATTACTACAAGCGTGTATTTCGAATTTAAGGAGTGACTCAATTCTAGCGAATTTCGTATTTTAGTACTCCCTTTTTACACGTTCAATTTATGACGATTTCACTGTAAATCTAAATTAACTTCTAGTAACGCTCCTTCGGTAGTTACTAATTTCTAACTTTATTAAACATGTTACTAATTTTCACTTTTCAATCTTTACTTTTTTAATTAAAAGTTAAGATTGATAAATTAAAAAATATATAATCATCTTGTAAGCGAATGTTTTGAAAGCAAATGTTCTAAATTAATAAAATTTTTTACTTGAAAAATTATCCATTTATATAACTCTACAGTTTTAATTTTGAACGGTGATAATGATTTTTTCCATCCTTATCGTAGGTGTTTCTAGTTGTAATGGTTGTTAAAGAAATTTTTAAACCGTTTAAAGCAGTTTGATGTATCGATTTAACAAATAGAAGATTCATAAGATAGTAAACTTCTGTACAATTTCTTTTTTTTATGATAAGCCCCTTACAATGGCTTCAAAAAAATTTAAAATGAAACAAAAATTAAAATGCATATTGATTTCCAAAATAAATAATTGGTCAAATGTGTTCATCTGTGCTTTAAAAGATTTTCCACTCAGTCTTTAAAAGAACTTTAAGAAAAATAGAAAACAGACACAACTGTGATGAATATAATTATTTTCAACCTTTTTTCCAATCAAGTTAAATAACGTCTTTTAATTTCATGAAATAAAGTGGAGTGCCCAAAATTAAAATGCAAACTTTAACAGCAAAATTAACAAAAATTTTATTAATATTTCAGTATCAATATGAAACAATGTATTAAAAAAATACAATATTTGTTACAACAATGGTATAAAATCTAAACATAAATACTCTATATAATCAACATTGGTCCACTTTATCCAAAGATTTCAATTATTTGTATATTCTTACTCCACAGGAGAAAAACTTTAAAAACAGTAATGTTATAAGCAATAAAAAATAGTGTATAATTTTGAGCAAATACTTTTAACATTAACGATTAAAAAAATGCATATTAAACGAGTAGTACAATGCAAATACTTAAAAATTTGATCAACGTTAAGTAAGCAAATAGATTTTTAAAAATTGCATTTGGAATGTGCTAAAATATATTACAAACATGTAATAAACATCCATATAGAGGGAGTTACAATAGTTCAAATTACACTAAGCAATAAGCAATGATAAACAATTTTTGTCATTTTAAAATACAGTGTAAAATTTTATTTGTTCATTTAGTATTTACTTAAAAAAAAAACAATAAAAATAATTCCGAAAAAATAATTCTATAAAAAAAAATTCAAAATCTACGTGTAATTACAGAATTACACTTTAATTTGTATTAATTAAAACTAATTTTTATAATTTTTACGTTACCTAAAAGTATTATTCTTAATTAGTGTACTTTTATAAGAAGAAAAAATCACAATCATAAAAAAATGACGGAAAAATAGACTAAGAATTTCAAATTTAAAGCCTTTCTTAATACTTCTCAAAGGCATGTGTTATTAAAATTACAACTTAAATATATAACTGGAAATAGTATCGATATAAAATATAATAAACTAAAAATATAACTTTAACACAAAGCAATTCAAACTAAAGGAAATGAAAAAAAAATTTTTTAATTATATGATTTGGTTGAAAACTGAATTTTGAAGTTACAATGGTTTTGAACAGATTTTCAAAAGAAAAATTTTCCTTAAATGATGAAAACTTTCTCTTTGCAACAGTCTTAAGTGAAACCCTTTTTAGTTGAAGAACTGATGTAAATGGATTAAAATTTGTTTTAGTCCTGCATCAACAAACAAAAAAATATAATGATGTTAATACAAAACAACTTTTACAATTATTTTTGAAATTGATAAGATAATTTTTTTAATATTCTTGTAACAAAACAAAAATACATTTCCAGTGAACTTTACATACTTTTTGTGAAACTTCCTTAAATCTTAGGACATATGTCAACATTACTCATAAAACATGAAGAAAAAAAATACATAATCAAGATTTTTTTTAAAATTTTTTTTAAAAATAAATTATACATTTGATGTTTCTCCAAAACATTATTAAAATGAGAGTTTTATTTATTGATTTATTTTTTGAAGAGAAGTTAAAAAAGAAAAGTCTAGAAAGTTGTTTAGATCATATGTAAAGCAAACAGAAGCATGATAACAAAACGGAAATACACCAATTTCACTTCTGAAAATTATCACAATTTGTAATGTTCAACACACTTTTAAAAACATTTTGAACCAGTAATTATATAAAATGATGTGTTAAAATCTAAACATAATACAGCACCTTTAATAAAGAACACAATAATTATTTATTCATGTATGTAAATATGAGAAAATTCAACAAATAAATGGTGTGTTCAAAAATTTGAAAATTGAAAAAAGTATATACTATGAAAAGTTATACCTTGATCTGCATAACAATTTTAAGGTGTTTTCTAAATCAGACTCTTTCCTCTGTCAATTTCACAAACTTCCACACATCGTCTGCTATCAACCGGGGTTCTTCAAATGCTGCAAAGTGACCCCCTCTGGGCATATATGTGAAGGACACAAGGTTAGGAATCAATTTCTTTGAGATGAACATTTTTGGGGTGAGGAACAATTCATTGGGAAAAAAGGCCACACCAAGAGGTACAGTTATGGGCATCCTACAACAAAAAATAAAGAAAACAAGAGTTCAAAACCACTCTAAAAAATTTTCAAGACTTAAATTATTTTTAGACTGATTAACACTGTGTTAAGCTAGCATTGTTAACCAAAATTTTATAACTATTTGACACCAAAATCAAAAATGCATTTATTTTTTCTAAAAAATATACATGTATATTTCTCTATTTTTCATTACAGCAAACAAAACAAAAATAGCTAACCTTGTATACATTTTTTACACTAATCACCGAGTAAAATCACTGATATAAACCACTAACTTTTTCCAAAAGCCATTCATTTCTCTATATTTCCATTTCACCACTATTTAAAAAAATCCTAATTTAACTTTGGCTAGCATTTCAAAAGGTCGAGGAAAAGTATAAACTAAATCAGAATTTATATTCAACAATAGTTCAAGTTTTGTTTACACAAGCAAACCCTGAAGTTCAATCAATCCTATTCTCTTATTGTGGAGTGATTTTATTACTCGATCATTTAGCAATTAATATTTTAAAAAATATGCCTCCAATAAAATTTTTTTATTTTATTTTTAACAGAAAATATTTGTCACATTTTTAAGAAAATAAAAAAAAAATTATAATTAAAAAACAATTGGGAATGAGACGTGGATGAAATTTAGTTCACAGAATTTTTTTTCAAGACTGATTTCAGTTCCCATGACTGAAGAGTGGCACCCACGTCCATTTCATCTTTACAAATTGTCCGCTAGTCTACGAAGATTATCAAATTGTTGTTCCAAAAAGGGTCGAATGAGACTAGTTTTATGGTTATTAACTTTTGTAATTAAAGTTTCTCACCCAAAAAAGGTGGGGAAGAAAATGCAGTGAGAAAAAGAGAAAACTTCTATTTTTGGAGTAATGAAAATAGATGCAATTTAAAATTACAATTTGGTCAGGTCGAGTAAACATTTAAAAAAGATTGTCTTAATAATAAAAGTCGGTAGTAGTATTTGCTGTTCTGACAGGTTGCTTGGCTATGGAAGTTGTGTTGCATCCACCAAGCAATAAAAAAAAAAGTTGGTATTGTTAAAAATTCTGAGAAGAATTATAAAGAAAGCGATTTTAAGATGTTAATGACTTACTTGAGAAATAAATGAGCTGTCACAGTGCCGGGAAAAGAGGAAGAGACATTAAGGGATGTTTTAACACCATAGTGGTTATCTTTCACATAAAGATAAGATCTTATGTGAAGGTGAACAGCAGTTAATATAAGTGTTGGAGGATTAAAGTTACGTTGATTAAACTGATGTTGGAAAACCAAAAAGGCTATTGAGCAAATCAAGTATGAGGGAGACAGTGTTTTCATTACAAAAAAAAATGGGAGAGAATTTCTCACCCTTTCTCAAAAACAGGGTGAGATTTCAAAAAATTAAAAAAGCACGAATAGACTTGGAAAAAAATTATTTCTTTAATTATAATACATTTTTAACATCTCCTAATTGAATATTTTTGCTGCATCATCATATGGAAAATCTTCTATGTCTACTTTTTAATCAGCTATTATATTTATTTGTCTGAAAAATATCCGTATTTGTTTCATTTTCATTTGTCCGTTACGGAGTAGAAGATGTCACCTTAACAAGGTATTTATCCATCTTACATTCATGCACAAAAAATTTAAACGTCTTACATGAAGAAACCTTACTGAACACGTGGTTGCAGAGAAATGTGTTCTGAAAGGGGTTCCGTGGTTCGGGGGTGGTGTTCGGCTGTTCGCATCAGTTCTGAACAATACTGGTAAATAGCGAAGCTAGATAACAAGGAGCGATGTTCAAAATAATGAAAGATCAAGGAAGAAAAGCGAAACAGATTTTATTCAAAATGGCAAAAGACGAATTTTTTTCCAAAATTTGCGCATTTTGAAATTTGTTAATAGAGTGAGCAAAATTCTCGCGTTAATAATTTTTTATTGCGAGAAAAGAAAAAAATATGTGAGATTCTCGCGCTGTAGTGAAAACAGTGGGAATATATAAATGGGATATCAGGTACATAATACAAAGTAATTCTGTACATAGATAAAATGAAAGCATAGAGGGCCAATGAATAGGGAGATAAAACCTGATTAAATTTCCCAGATGATGAACGTCCTACTGCAGAGCCTTTTGACCACATAAATCATGCAAGTTCAATAATACCTGGAGGATCGATGCAGGTAGGTGAGGTAAGACAAAACATCTGACCGGTCTGAAAGTGAAGTGACTCACTCCACAGTAAGAATAAAAATGCAAATTTTATTGTTAATCTGACTAAGAATTTGAGAAAGGGAACAAGATTGAATTCATTTGAGACAATTTTATGTTGAAATGATCACCTGTCGTAGGAATCTCTGTCTGGATCCAAGATATACTCCTTATAAAACTTTTGGGATGCTTTGATGTTGTTGTTCACCCAGTATATCATGACGTTTGTCAAGAGCTCATCCAGAGTGAATTTCTTCGTCAAACCACCGTCCGGAAGCTGCCTGTTCTCTTTGTCAGTCCAAGTGGAGAACTTCTCTAGAATATAGGCTGCCAATCCAACTGGGCTATCAGCCAGGCCAGTGCCTGTAATCACAGAAAAGAAGCATTTATATGTACAGTGTGACACTCAAAATAGCCTTTTTTTTAATGCTTGATTTTTCACATACTTTAAGTGCCTATCTTAATGTTTCAAAGAATTTACCTCAAATAGATTGATGAATTAATACTCTAAATAAACCTACATTTTAAATAAAATAAAAAAATCATATTTTCAAACTTTCACCCCCCAACGTGGACCCATCAAAGTTTGATAATTCTACCAGGGCCCGATGGCGGGGCATTGATTGTTTACATATTAGATGGTTTTGATTTAATAATTTTAATTTAATGGTATTTAAACATGCCTTCAAAACTAAATACAGTTACATGCGTAACATAATCAATTTTAAATTAACAATCCATAATAATAATAAATTTTTTTGCAACACAAAATACAAAACCGAAACACATCTCAGCCATACTTCCAGAAACACAGAAAACAAAGTCTTGTTTGGTTCTAAAAAATTGTTTATTTTATTTTCTTCTTAAAATTCTTTTTCCAAACTTTCCAATAACTTGGATTATTTCTCAAGTTCTAACGGTATTTTTTTTTTCATTTATTTCTTTTATAAAAAGATAAAAAAGGGAGAATATTGCTGTTCTTAAACTTACTCATTTTTAATTCTCATGTAACAGTGAAGGAAAAATAAAAGGGCAAACTCATAAATAATGTTAAAATCATATTTACCAACGGTATCTGGTTTTGTGGCCTGTATGTGGAAATATCCAGTTTCTTGTAGAAGTGTTCCCACAACTTTCTTAAAAGGAAAACCAACTTTATATTCTTGAGGAGTCACAAGGAAAGGGAAATAATGTGCCAGCGTATATTTAATTATGTTGAAAAAGTTAAATCTCAAAGCAAACATGTTGGTATGTACACCCATCAACCTGTAAAAGTTCACATCATTAATGAATAAAAAATACTCTCTTTTGGAATATCATGTACTGAGATAAAAAGACTGAGGCAACTGCAGTTGCAGAAAGGAGTACAAACACCCCCGAAATAAAAAATATCTGACAAAAAAAAATCTCCTTGTTAAATAAATAAGGATATCTACTAAAAACATTTTTAAAACATTTCATAACGGCTTGTAAAAAAGCTAATGGAATATACTTAATGTTTTCAAATAAGATTTTTTTTATGTAAACCTTTTTATCAATTTTTTTGAAAAAATCAAGTTTAAACATCTCAAAATTCTAATTTTGAAAGTTTTGAGATTTGAAGTGAAGGTGTAATCCACACAAATACAAAATCTTAGAATTTTGTGGTACTAAAAATAAATGATGCTAGAAACTAAGTCTGACAAAAAACCAAAAGCATATTGGGACACGTGGAGAAACCACATTAGTCTCATCATAAACGTTGTTTATGAAAGTATCTAATTGTCACCTATAAACATTTAAATAGACATGTCAATAATTAAAAATAATGCAAACTTATCTCAAATGAAATTCATTATGAGAACGTTATCTTTAGATTAGTTTAGGGGTTTTCACTTTTATTCATTTGTAAAGAAGGGACAGAAGACGAAAAGCTATTAAAAAAATATTTTTAGCAGAACAATTTCGTAATGATTACAGAGTTAATCGGTTACATTTTGTTGCAAAATGAATGATGATATGCTAATTACAAATTTGTAGTTATTTGTTAATGAATGGGAAATAAAATACTTATAAATTGGAGCCCTACTCTGAAAACAATTTTGGCTATGGCCCTGGTCAGCTAATTTCTACAATTGGCTATCAGTTTAGTTTTAAACAATCACAATAATAATTTAAAATAAATAATATAAAAATTATTTATTTATATTTAAAATGTACATTTTCATTTTCTAAAAGAAATATTGAACTTTCTACAATAGTCAAAATAATATTTTAAAATAGAAGTTTGTGCACTCCTGAAGCCAGTTCTTAATCTGAACCTAACAGGAGTGATTCTGAGCCCAACTCAAAAATTTTGAAAATTTCTTGAATAAAATCATTATTAAATGACGCTTTTCAAAAAATTAATGTAATTAAAATAATTGATATTTTCAAAACATGAAATTGTAAATAAATTATGTATGCAGCATAATTTAAATGAACAATTATTTATAAGTTTACTTTTATCTCTAATCACATTTATTATTCCACCAGAAAAAATATTCACAAATGAAAGAGATGCCAAGTATAAATTCTAATATTTTTAAATAAAATACACATGAATTTTTATACATAAATGTGATCGATGATTACTTGAAACTTCTGAACCTAGGATTTCTGAAGCACAATCATCTCTGACCTCATAAAAAACTTATTTTATTTATTTATTTAAAGAAGAAAAATATTTAAAATTTTTAATTGCGTATTTAAGTTTTTGGTGCACCCAATATTAATCAATGCAGTGCTTTAATTGCTTTTTTCCAACAGTTTACTCTTTTTTTTTATTAGCTCATTTCATCGTAAATCCATGTGATCCTTTTCTGGGCAGTTATGTCTGCATGTGTTTTTAAAAATGCAGCATTTTTAATACCTTTTAACATCTTCTAAGTTTTGAATTGTGCATTCAAATAAACACTTTTTGATATGCTTTATTTGTGAAAACTTCATCACAAATCCAAATAAGTTCAGACCATACTACACAAAAATAATTAAATCCATATTTACATAATCCTTTCCTTAAAATTCAAACTATTTTGCTGGGGTCAGTTACATTATATTCTTTACTATCAATTTAGAAATCAAATAACAACTTGTTCTCCATTGAATAACATGCTAAGTAAGAAGAAGAAAAGAAAACTCACTTATTAGGATAGAATTTGGAAATTAGTTGAACAATTAAGGATCCCCAGTCTCCCCCTTGAATATAAAACTTGGAGTGCCCGAGGCGTGTCATCAATGTTACAAATATTCTGGCTGCAGCTCTTTGATTGAATCCTATTTAATTAAAAAATAAAAAAAAACAATAGCAATAGTATCAGAAAAAATATGTGTTATCACATAAAACAAACCAACAGTAATGTGTAGATTAGACTCACATCACAAAAATAACAAACTGAAATACAATTTCACATTATAGAGTATTCAACTGAAAAAATTTATGAATGATAACAACAGTGCTAAAAACAGTGTACAAAAGGCTGTTATTAGATATTCATTCACATGAATACGCAACGCGAAATTAGGCTTTAAAAACGAGTAAATAAAAATTTCAAAATCGCGTGAATAGAAATTGCGATGTACGATTTTTTAATTGCATGAAGGTGAGTCACAATGCGCAACATTAAATTGAGTAGATACAAAAATTTATGATTAATTCATTTTCCCTGAATTTTTTTTAAATTATTAAATTCTCAGACATTACACGGATTTTTCCAGATTGATAAAATTCTGTCTTTTTCATATTCTCCCTACCCTTCTTTGTGGCCCCCATGCAATAGTCATAATGTGTTTTGCGTGTTATATTTCGAGGTTGTATGTCCAAAATTCAATCTTGTACAAAAGTTTATAAGAATTAGCATTCATGAAATTTATAAAAATTACTCTTTTTAAGCATTTTGTAAAAGTGAAACTGTTGTCAACATATTGAGCATTCCCAATGCTGAATAAAATCTTTTGATTAAAGCGTTCCTTTTAATCAGCATATATAATGTCACAGTATAATCTACAAGAATTTATCATATCCTGTTTTTACTATGTCTTCAACTTCCAAATAAAATTTTTTAAATGTAGCAATCCTTGATTCAAAACAAATTGCCACTTTTCATCCAGTATGATCAGATACTAAAATGGACAATTTTTCAGCAACCCTAACTCTGATATTCATATAAGAGGCCTAAATATGACATTTCAGGAAATTTTAACAAATATCTTTTTTATGCTATCCAATAAATAACAAATATTAGGTGGACCAGAAAGTAGTGCCGTTTGGGCGCATTAGATATTTGTTATCAAGATTTTAGTTTTAATCAGTAATGTATTCACCCTCGTTAGCAACAACCTTTCAATGCCGGATAGAAAATGAATCGGAGAAAAAAATTTTCGTTTTTAAGACTAACGAATATTTAATGCGCCGAAACGACATTACTTTCCGGTCCACCTAACATAGAACTTTATTATAACAAAGAAGTTAATAAGTTACAATAAAGAGAGAAATCAAGAACTGAATATGTGTCATAATTTAAAAAAAAAAAAAAGTTATTCCAATGACCTTTGTGATGTGGTGACTCTGAGAATCCATATCCAGGAATAGATGGACAGATTACTTCAAATACAAAATTCTGATTGTCCTTTTCAGTGGTGAGCATTGGGATCATCTTGTAGAACTCATAGAAAGAACCAGGCCACCCATGAACCAAGAGTAGAGGGATTACCTTCAACTAAGATAAAAGGGAGGATATTTTATCCATACAAAATACAAGAAAATAAGAAATATATAATTTTCAAATTATCAAAATTAGAAACATTGAAACCTAATTAAAATAAACAGCTAATTCAACCACTGTTGATAAAAATATTTACATATTTTCATGAAAAAACAACAACAAATAGGTAAAAATGCATAACAGCAAGTAAGATAACCTATGTCATGCAGACCAAAACTGACCACCCAAGATTTTTGATTTGGCCCCTGAACAGTATCAAATATTAATAAGAATATGAAATATAAAATACGAAGCAGAAAAGCCATGCTCTGTAACATAAAGTTAGGCATTTATCTAATTCAGATTTTACAGAGGATCAGATTGAAACCATTTAATTTTGAAAATATTGGTTTATGGTCGCAATGGGTTTAGTGTTTCAGGTGTAAAGTAATTTTTCAAAAACTTGTACAGGTTAATAAGAAGAAAAAAAATCAAAAATTGAAGAAACAAGTAAATAAAGCAAATAATAAATTATAATTTCTTATTCCCATAACCATCACTTTCAATCACTTAAAAAATAAGTTATCATCTGAAAAACAGTAAAAATTAATTTATAAGTTTGAGTTGATTTTCTTCTCTTACCTACGTTGAAAATTTTTCCTTATAGCTTGCTTTGTAATCTTGTAACTTGTTATTCTTTTATTTTGATCTCCACAAGTAAAAATTTAATTATGCATATGAAAGTCATTCACACTGCCTTTAAGTATAATCACTATAGTCAATAGATGTTTTAATGGAATTCGAAAATACATAAAATCTAAAGTAATTCTTAGAAAAACAAAAGTTTTATTGTATAAATCTCTTTTAAGATCAATTTTAACATATGCTTGGGAAACCTGGACAATGTTTCGTAGGGATGAGGTCATGTTGGGTACCTTTGAGAGAAAGGCCTTGGGATGTATTTTTGGAGGAACTCAAAAAAATTGTGTGTGGCTTAGAAGAACAAATTAAGAGCTTTATCACTTATATTAATGAACCTGACATTATTAACTTCATTAAATGACAAAGAATAAAATGGGACATTATCAGAATGGATGAAGACCATACCACAAAAAGAGTTTTTAATGGCAGACAAGTTGTCACACGAAAAAAAGGCAGGTCGAATTTCCGCTGTGGCAAAATGACACGTCTACATAGTCGCAGTTGCAGAAAGACTTTTCTTTTGCAAAGTAAAAAAAAAAACAATTTCTTTTCTTTTCTTAAGAAATTTACACGTAATATTTGAATCATGCATTTAGATAATCCCTTTTTCACTCCCTCAATTTTCGCCGATAGTATCGTAAATCGATGTAATGTTTCAATTGTATTTTCGGCTGTTATTAATATTGATTTTCAGGAGGTTTTTAAGTATTCCAATAAATTTCAAACAATATGGAAAACTCGAATCGCGCATTTGAGTATTTACTTTTTAAGGCAATAATTCTATCGAAATTTTTGGCAGTTATTGCAATTAACTCCTCCATAGTTTTTAAATCCAATATTTTTTAAACGAAACTATTTATTACAACAACCTAATCTAGAAATGAAACAAGCATTTGAGGAGTCCGATTCCCGTGATTTCGTCATCAGCCTTTTTTTTTTCGACAATTACTACTACGGATTTCACGATTTTTAATTATTTTTTTACTGTGATAATTACTTACAAAATGCGAAGAATGAAAAAATTGTGCTTTCTGGAATTTGAGATGGATAAATGGCCTAGAAAAAGACCTTTTGGTCTTATAAACTAAACACTGGAAAACACTAATTGGAATAAGGTTGGCCTGGAAAAAATTTCTTGAGAAGGCCAAGGTCCACCCTGGGCTGTCGAGCCATTGTTGATGAGGAGGAGGAGGATGGAAATAGAATAAGCACTAATATACTGACCTACTGAATAAAACTGGTGGGTCTTGTACAGGGTTTGTTGATTTAAATCAGCTTGATTTAAATCACAATTTAAATCATGATTTAAATCATTGTTTCTCAACGGGGGCGATACCCCCCCTGGGGGCGTTGACAGTATGCTGAGGGCAGTAGGGGGGCGTTGGGTATGTTTTGGGGTTGTAGGGGGGAGATGAGCATGTTTTGTCATTCAAATTTAATTTTAAAACTTACAAGTAAAATTATTAAATTAAATTTATGTAATAAATAAAATTAATCTAAAATTAATATTAAAGAAAAAAAAGACTAAATTAATATAATAAATTAAGATTATCCGATACACCTTCTGTACCACCAATAAAACGAACTTACACGACACCTAATCTCTGAACCAATACAGCGCATAAATCTGTAGTTTTTGTCTCTGATTCATTCAGGCTATTTCGCGAATGGCTCTGACTCATTCATGCCATTAGGCTGAAATCGAAGTGCGTGATCTTTCGGTATGAATATTTGATTTGACCCGTGTTATAATGATTTTTGTTACCTTCCTACCAGCATTCAAGAGATGCTTTTTGCAATAAGCTTGATTGTAGATACCAAAGGTAAATCTATCTTTAATGTCCATGATTATTTTACAGAAAAAAACATTTCTCTTTCGAATATTATGTCGATTGCCACTGATGGAGATCCTGCAATGGTGGGTCGACATCGTAGGTTTATCGCCCTTTTGAAAAGGGAAATACCAGATATTTTAGCTCTTCACTGCGTGATTCTCATACAGCATTTAGTAGGAAAAAATCTCAGCTGCCGTTTGCATCAGTTATTGCAATATNACAGAGCTCCTTTAGCAAGACAGGATTAAGACCAAAACCACTCAATGGAGTAGTCTGGTGAGCAGTAATGCATGCGATTGCGATAGTAATGCTAAGTAAGACTCGAAAAGAGATTGTGAGGAATGACAAATGAGTAATAAAAAGAAGGGGGACACTGTGTGCCTTTTGACTAAAAGGGGAGAGAGAATTGAGGTTTGGTCTCCCCTTTTTTTTAAGTAGAATTGGTTAAGGATGTGTGGTTTTGGAAGAGGTGCATTTCGCTTATGACTATTGGGTGTTTGTAATGAAAAGAAGGTAACTCACACATAGTGAGTGTTCCCCTATTTTTGTGAAGAAGTTTCAAAAGTGTTGAGTGTATTTAGAATAAAGCTAGCGAGTCTTTTGACCAGAAAGCAAAACAAAACTGAGGTTTGGTTTCAAAACCAATGCTAACTGGGGAAACCAAACTGAGGTTTTTCCATTTTTATAAGTAGAATTGACTATGTTGTTTGGTTTTGGCATGTGTGACTATGGGTGTGTGGTTTTGGATCTAACGTCCAAAACAAAGGTAAATAGTAAGGAGACCACATGTGAAGTGCCTCTTTCTTTTCTTGTGAAGAAGTTTTGAATGGGTTGAGTGTGTTTTGAAAATGTGTGTATGCGTTCCTTTTGGTTAAAAACTCCTAATTTTGCTGGAATTCCCTTATTTTTACTGAACTACTATTTTTTTTTAAAAATATACCCAGTTTTACATAATCTATTTTTTTATTATACTGGAACACCCTATTGTTTTTTTTTTAATTAGAACTGGCTAGAAATTAGTTTTTGAGCAACCCACTTGTTTATTAACATTTTCTTTTAAAATAGTATCCTTTACAGTTTATTCTGAAAACAGACACTTTTCATCTATTTTTTGTTAAGAAATAAAGACCACAGTTGTCTCCCTCTGAATTTAGTGGTAAATAGTCACATTTTAGTTGCCTGTGGAGGCCCTGTTAGGAGTAGTATTAAATCAGGGTTCTGAATATCAATTTGATAACTTTTAAACACATCATCCAACCATGGCAAAGCACCTACTTAGTCTAATTTTTAGGACATGACAGGAATGCCGGATAATTTTACCCCGATCAAACGGTATGGACAGCGGCTGAGCCGGTACCCCTGTCTCCAAATCTCTATACCACAACCAACAAGAAGACTTTCAGCCTTGACTGATTAAAGCGCACCTTTCAGTGTATACATGCCAATTGTTTCTGCCAGCTCTCCAGCAGTGAGTGATGCCTTAACCACAATATACAACCGGAGAGTTTAAACATGTAATGCTTTATGTTATTTTATAAAAAAATTTCTTTAATTTGATCCATGCATAGAATTCTTTTAATTTTCCAAAATTATTATTAATGCAATCATAATTGTCCGAAATATGACCGGAAAAAAATGTAAATTACTCATTATTAGATTAATGGGTACTTTGGGATTATCCCTTCGACCTATCAATGCTCCCGAAAATGCGCAAATCCTTTAGTACTATCACAATGGAAAGCAATTTCCAAATTAAACATTCTAAACACATTAAATTTATCAAATAATAATAAAACAATAATAACAAAAAAATTTCAGTGTAAAAATACACAATAAAAATGTGTAATTAAAAGAGAGAAGCAAAATAAAAAATTCTATTTTTTTACAATTACACAGTAAATGTGATAAAATTTGCGGTTATTGGAGCAGAAACTACCTTTTGGCAATAAAATCAGGTTTGGCAAAAATAGTCGACGGGATAATTCCAAAGTACCGATTAATGTTCAGATTTGCAAAAAAATTCACAAATAAAATTTCAAGAGCTTTTTACATTATTAAATATCTTATTATTTAAATTGAAAATAATTCCTTACTATATGCAGTTAAAGAACCTTTCTCAGCTTATCACTAGGATAATTAAAACATAATACATTTAAATTATATAATAGCAACAAAAAAAAAAGTCTAATGTCAGAGGTTAGGCAAAGTCTAGTCTAATGTGAATATTATATATTAAACAATCAACATTACAATCGTAGAGTTTTTTGATTTTTCTATAACAATTTTAAATGTAAATAGCCTAGTCCAACTATTTATGTGAATATATAACTCAACTTCAATAGAAATTTTAGTGAAAAACAAAGCAATATTTATGGTATTAAAAATAACAATAATTACTCACAACATCATTTTTGTAAAATATGTAAGACAACAAAGGCAAATGATTTCAATTTTAAAATAAAAAGAACGAAAAAATAATAAATCTTTGATTGATAAAAAATCAATTACATTTCAGAGATAAAATTAAATTTCATAAATGTAATATGCTGTGTAAAGTTCAAACAATGAAGCAAAAAAAAAAAAAGTATTTAAGTTCACACTCACATTTTTTCCTGCGGGTATATTTGGTTTAACGTGAACAAAGTGGACATCGATTCCTTCAATTTGAGTCTTAAAATGAGGATATTGGTTGAGTTGTTCTTCTTGCTTTCTCCAATCATATTGGTTTTTCCAATAATTGACAACATCATAAAGATAACTGGAATGAAAACCATACTCAAAACTCACTTCTTCCAAGGATTCCTCATAACGCGTTCTCTCAATACGATTCTTTAAATCAGAGAGTACTTCATCAGGTACTTGTATTTTAAATGGATGAATTGTGGCATCGATTTCTGAACTACCTAAAAGAAATTAAAAACTTGAAAATGCTTAAGGATTTTTAAATTTGATGACAAACAATAAAATTTGATCAAATATTAAAGGAAATAAAGGTCACTTAAAAATTCAATCTATTAACTAATTCAAATAATTGTTTCTTTCATATTTATGGATCAAACACTGCAGAGAAACAAGTACGAAATCAAGACATTTTGAAAAGCGCAGTATGAAAAAAAAAATCCTGAAACAAAAAGATGAAATTTTAAAGACCCAAAAGAAATATCAAAAGGAATAGTAAAAAAAAATTAAAAAATGTGGATTGGTGAAGTTTCAAACATCATATTATGGCCTTGACTTAAGATCCAAACTGCATTTTGTGCAGGGAGGACTCCCTAATGAATGCTGAGCATCTGGAAGTTCGCCTTGATGCTACTGGCAACATCTATGACAGATACTGGAATGCTAAGGAACAGTTGCAGGAACTACTAACTGACTGATTTTTTGTTTAAATTTCTATAGTTGATATTCTATTTAATATTTCTTTGTTCTAATTTATATAGCTATATATATATTTCTCTTACACGGAGACAAAAAAAAGCCTCATTACAACTCCCCGAATGGCAACGCTAGAAAATCGACCAATGATTGCCGCTAAAAATTTCACATGCCAAATCTTGCCGAGGTGGCTCAATATATAGCGCTTTTAAAAACGGAAACTGAAATAACCAGACCCTATCAGGTTGTTCAATTCAACTGCGGCAATCTCATACTATTAAGCTAGACAGAAGTGGAGTAGTCTTTGTCGATATATCTCTATTTTAGTATTTTGTCGAAAGCGCTTTTTTTCACGAATTTATATTAGACATTACGAATTTATTTGACGATTTTCGATTTATATCACGAATTTATTTGTTTTATTTTTGTTATTAGTTACTCATTGAAAAATGAGTCTTATTCGTGTTGTTACACTTTTGAAGTATAATCAAAAGAAGCAAGCTCGAAGATTGGAAGAGAGCATTGATGACAGCCATGAAGACGTAGTGGTGAAAGAATGCGTAGACGACGTGCTGTCATTTTAATAGACTTAATTATAGCCAAAATTTTAACGTTTTTATAGAGATATCAGTTTTAGAAATTTTGTCTTTGAATTCCTCGTAGCTTTTGTCTTTGAATTTGAATTCAAATTTATTTTAATGACTTAGTATTTACTAAAAAGATGTAATTTTTTTTTTAAAAAAAAAGTTGTTATATGGATTTGAATTCTTAGAATTTTGTGCATTTGCAATGTACCTAAGTTAGTAGCGAGCGAAGCAAACCATCTAAGATTGCATAGCAATTTTCGGGGGTTGGCGAGCGTTAGCGAGCAAGGGGCACAGTCCACTAGTATATTTATATTTCAACTGTTTTAATGTTTTTAATTTTTTTCATTTGTTGTTATTCCTTATGGGTCTGTCTGGAGTGTTTTTACACTCCAGTGAATGACGTACACATCAAGTGCTGCTAGAATTTTAAAAAATGTTACGGCCTAAAAAGAAATCAGTTACAGATTTTCATCTCAATTTTGGCCACTACTGTCCATTAAAGCATCAGCATTAGATAAACATTGTTCCAAACTGTATGAATTAAATGAAGAATGAAGGTCTTTCACTAGAATCACTATCTGCACTCAATGCTGGATCTCTTTGGGAGAAATATTGGGAGGCTAGACACAAAAAAGATTCTCTAGACTATATACTGTATGACTGACTTTATTTCATTTGTTCACTGTTATTTTTTTTTTTCTTTCTGTTTTTGGTTTTGTCTAGTTGTCTTTGTAATTTGGCATTAGGAATAAAATAAAAAAAGTTTATTTACTTATATGGTTTTCAGATTATACAGATTTGAGTGTAGAAATTTTAATCATGCTGTGTGTTTTTAATAATCAGAAAAAGTCAGAATGGATTGCTTTGCTTTTTTTTTTTTTTTTTTTTTTTTTTTTTTTTTTTTTTTTTTTNTTTGCAATTTCTTTGTATATAGAATATGAAATGAAGCAATAAAATTTGAAAATTCCAAAGAAAAAACCTTTAAATTGTGAAAATATTTCACTATTTTTAATTTTTCAAATGCAATATTGCAAGGCCTAAAATGCTGCTGCTCAATATTTCAGTGAAATTTAACTTAACTCTTTTAAACACACATAAAAATTTCTGTGCTGTTGGTTGCTAGAAATTTTGAATTTGTGTAGATCCCTGACAGTAAAGAAATTTGAGCAGGGCTCATTTTACTTCAAAAAAAATTATTATTTAATTGTTTTGAAGTACCTCTTCCGTCAGTTTCATTTAGTTACATTAAAATATATAATTGCTCATAGAAAATTTTTAGTTACACTTTATTTTCAAAATTTTAATCTACTTTGTGTTTAATTTCAACATTAAAAAAATTTAAATTGTATTAATGAAGCCAATCTTGAAGTACAGATAAACTTTTTAAGCGTAATTAACCCTTTGCCTACGGTGAACCGTGTATTACCATCACAGGTGATCTACATGTTGTACCAGCCATAACGAAAAGGTTAATTTCTGTAAACAGTAAATATTTACTATAATTAGGTTTAAGATGAATTTAAAATGTTCTATAAAAATTACATTACATATTAAGCTTTATAATAATAGCTCTTACCTTTAAAATATATTACTAACAATTTGAAACTTAATTAAAAAATTTTACATTAAAAATCAGTTTTTAACATCATTATTTACAGAATTTATTTACTATACTATTTGAACTAAGGCACTTGGCAAAATTTTTGTTAGACTTTTTAAAGCCATAGGTCTTAGAATTTTTATATTTTCATTTGAATTCTTTTTTAAATATCGATTTGAATTGAATTTTTCTATTATTTTAAATTAAATTTTATACAATTGATAATTTTTTATATTTAATATACACACTGGCGTTTACTAGAAGTAAAAAAACTTTGGTTTAANAACACGTGTTATTAGGAGAAGATAAATATCGTGTTCTTACCACCAAACACCACTTCTTTCATTCAACCGTGCGACCAGGGAATTATCCGCACCTTGAAGGCATATTACAGAAAGGAAATGCGTTCAAGGATCTTAGAAAATATGGAAATACGCTGAAGATCTTAATGCAAACGCTCTAGCCACACAAAAAATTGTTTTGGATGCCATACATTTGTTAGCAATGTCATGGAATAATGTCTCGGAAAAAACAATTCGAAATTGTTTTAGTCATGGAGAATTTTGTCAACCACAGGACAACAATGCTGCTGTGATGATATGAATGCTGAGGATTTTGAAGCATGGATGGAGATTGACGAGAAGGTTGAGACTTCTACTTCGTTAACTGATGAGGACATTTGGGAAGCCGTATGTGTCAAAGATCAAGCTTCGTCACAAGATTCTTATGCCGATGATGAACCCGAAAGTGCTATCGAGGACAAAATTCCGAAGCCTGCTCAGATGAGGGAGGCACTTCGAATCTTACATCTAGGTGTGCAAAACAAAGCTGGCGCGGAACACTTTCATAAACATTATGATTATGAGCGATTCGTAAATGACTTGCTTCGAAAGAATGCTAAAACAATCGACAATTGATGATTTCTTTTTCAGTTAATAATTAACCTTTTGTATTATTTTCTGAAATTCATCATTAAATATGTAAGTATACTAACTAATTCTTTTTATTTAATGTACATTAATTTCTATTAAATACTATAGAGTTTTATAGCAACAACTCCGAATTTAAAATAATTTTTATTTTAATATGTATGTAAAAAAATCATATTTGGCTTACATTTTTTTTCGTTTACTGTATTGTAATCAACCGGTTATTGTTATCAAATCACATTCGTCCCAATGTGATCACATTAAGCGGCGTCTACTGTATAACTATGTGCAAAACAAACAACATTTATATATATATTTCTCTTACACGGCGACAAAAAAAGATTCATTACAACTCCCCGAATGGCAACGCTAGAAAATCGACCAATGGTTGCCGCTAAAAATGTCACATGCCAAATCTAGCTCAGAAGGCTCAACATGTAGCACTTTTAAAAATAGAAACTGAAATAACCAGAGAGAGCATAAGCTAGGCAGAAGTGGGTTGGCGAGCGTTAGGGAGCAGGGGGCACAGCCCATTAGTTAATATAAATCCTGCTCAATTTTCATGAAAATTAAATACAAATTTGAAGTAAAGGGGTTTGCAATTAGCAAATGAAACTGGAGGCTTAAGAGTTAAAAAGCATTTTACTCTGGAATTCATTTTTAATTATTTTTCATGAATTTGGTGCCTCCAGGACAGCACCCGGAAAATCAAAGAACGTGACATCATATATGGGGCAAAATTAACAGTCGCCACCATCCACAGGGTGACTACATATAACAAATGGCGTTCAAAGAACTGTCCACCAGTCACCATTTTCTTTCGTCAAAAATTCATTCAATGCGCATTTTATTCTCATTTTTTTTAAAAAATAAATATAGATTTTATAATATACCGAAAACTACTTTATTTCACACTTCTTCCTTAAAATTTTTCTTCATTTCAGAATGGAACTTAGTAATGTTTACCATAATTTAAAAAATGCTTCTAAAGTCATGCTTTACATGATTATCAACAGTTTTTATGAGTTGATAAAAATTTTCAAAAAAGTGGCCACTGTTAAAAATGTTACAAATGGTCACTGGCTGGAAGCAAAATTTCCTAACTTTGATCTATAGCATCATGAACAAATGCTTATTCCACCTGCTCTGACGTTTATGGAACAATTCATATAATATAGATGATGATCAAAGAAGAGAAAAATTATGCTTTCATTGGTATAAAATATTACCTGTTGAAGTACCCCTGCCAAACCATTGCTCTTCATATCCTTTTCTATAAATAGATTCATCTTCTTTCCCAAAACACTTGTTATAAAGATATTTCACAAACCATGCTAGCATGGCAGCAAAGCCCACAAGAAAAAGTATCATTTTATACCTGTTAGAAATAAAATATTATCCAGTAAACATAATTACGTAACACAATATAATTTTTTTACACAAGGCTATAACAAAATAATTTTGCAAGATTCATTAATTAAATTTTTCCTCATTTTTAAAAGAAGTGAAATCATAGCTTTAAAAATTGACTGCCTTTATAACATGAGATTTCTCTCTACATATATATATTTTATTGATACAGCTCTAAAATTTATTTAAAATTCCAACGATTTTGAAATGACATTTTAAAAATCTAAAACTTGTTTTGAATTTTTCCTTAAAAGAAGGATGTTTTCTGGACTTTTTATTTCGTTATTTTGAACATTTAAAAATAATTTAAAGATAAATTTACATATTAATTATAAGTCTATTGATTATGTTTTTTTTCACCCTCATTGTCAAATTAATACTTATATATATGAATGTATGGAGTGACTATAGCTGTCTCATGTTGTGGAGAGTAGAATATTCTCGCGGATTGTTTTCTTTTTAAAAGTTATGTGATGTTTAACTACATTTTTTCTTGCTGAATAAAAGTTTTTTCTAAGTTTAACAATGACTTTTTCATTATGCTTGCTTAGCATTTTTCCCCTATACACTCAATTATTCCAGCATATTATTCCAGAATCTATATCTAGACAAGAAGTAAATGCATCAGAATATATAGTTGCAATCACATTGCAGACACGCCCTCAAATCATGTATTCGAAATTGCATTCTTGAATGTGTTTGTCGATGAATGGATGGTTGTCGGTGTTGACCCAAGAGGGATTTTGTGGGTTAAAAACCATTGTAAGAAATCATCCATGCCAATTACATCGGTCTTCTAGATGCACCGCAGGTTGTTGTCGCATGATGTAAACTGATACATTGTCATGTCTCAACGTTAGGTCTTGTATGTTGGAAGTAGAGCAACATACACTCTTCACTTTGTTGTATTTTAGTCTGAATAAAGACCTTTGAATTGCAAGTAGTAAAAAAAAATTTGTTTAAAAAATTAACTTAAATGTACAAGCAGCTTTCCTGAAAAATTACTAACTAAAAACATAAATATTTAGAATAAAAACTATACATTTATTCCATAGATATGATAAGTAAAGATTTTAAATGTACTTCTTTAATTACTTCACTACTCCACTTAACATGTCAATATGCATTTGATATCCAAATGTCATTTTAGTAATGCAAGTAAGTAAAAATCAGTTTTCCCTTTGATTGTCAACACATAAAAATTATGCATTTTCTCATTATTTAGCAGCACACAATTTGTAACATTAATGGGAATTGTTACGCTGATTTTTTTTTTCCTTTCTTTATTGAATCAATACAGATTTTAATAGAAACGAGCATGAGATATTCAGGGCAGTATATTTTTTTTTATTAAAATATATTTAAAATAATAAAAATAAAAAATAAATAGAAAATAAAAAAAATGGATTATGTAAATATAAACATATAAAACTGTAAAGGTTTGTTTTAATAGTAATGGTTTGAAAAATTAAGAATAGACTATGTTTTAGTCATTTATTAAAACATAATAGGGCTTTAAATTAAACAATACCCTTTATGATGTATTGCTGCCTTAAAAAAATAATAATAATCTTTAAAAACATTTTAATTCGATTTGGAATACTTTTAAACCATTTTTTCTTTTTTAATATAAAGGAATGCAATTTAAAAATATTTCAATAATGAATATAAACATACTGCATAAATGAATTACTAATTTATTAACACTAGAAAAAGAAAGCAATTTTAAAATGAAACTAATAAAATAAAAGTTAAAGAAGCACATCATTCTTAATTATAGCACATATTATGTATTTAACAAATAGACAAAAATAAAACTTGAATAACTTAAACTCTTTCAATATTTTAATAGTTTAACTAATTTTAAATAATAACAGAACATGGAATTAGTGATGACGACGGTTTATTTTATTTTAAGCATTTTAAAAGACATTATGACTTAATCTTAAATTTTCTCACATTATTTATTTTATGCAGATATTTTTATAGGAAACCCAATTCTATGTAATCATTCAAAAATTCCAGATGTATATGTTTATTTGAAGCAATACAGATTACCATTAGCAATTAAAGCTCGAAATTGTAAAAAAAAAATCTTTTTTTAATTTGGTAATAATAAAACAGGAAGAATTTATATAATAGAAAACTTAAATATTTACATGATTCCCCAAAATTTATTCGTAAAAATGAGTTCGTTATAATAAATAAAATACATTTTTGTATTAATTTTAGAACAAATTACCAGATTTCTTAACAAACATAATGAGGATAATTAAAAATATGATAACGAAAACATACCAGAAATTTTATGCGGATAAAATTTTAGATCGTCCGAAACTTTGCTTAGAGGCCGATCTGTTGCTCTTGCTAAAAGGAAAAGAGATTAGATAATTGCTTATTATTTTTAGTAACCGATAAGAAAACCGAATATTGCTATTCACGCTAGATATTATTGTTCATTCACGCTAGATATTATTGTTCAATAATTAGAAAATGTATACACCTTGGCCACCGGAATAAATGGATCTTTGTTTGTCAAGGTTTACACCAAATTTTATCACCTAAGAGTTGTTACCGGTTGCTTATTTTTTCTATATTTAACGAACCACAAAAATCTGCAACTGTTCAGTGCACGTTGCTTATTTTGAAAATCAACTAATAGCCATAGACTGATGAATAAACGGAATAAACTCACTGAGTTGATTAAGGTCTACCTCTATTGTTGCCGTTCGCGGTATTACGATCGTAAAGTTAAGATAAAATAAAAACTTGGAAGTTGACTTTGTCACATGTGAACCAAGACTTCCTTAAAAAATTGTCAGAAAAAATGTTTATTAAATATTTTTTATAACAAATGAATGCATTCTATAAATATTATAAATAAAAAAAAAAATTATTAAAAGAAAAAAACTCTTATGTTTGTTTAAAATATTTAAACATTCGCGATTCGCGATCGCAGCGCTCGAGTACGCCGTCTAGCGGGAGCCTGTAAATATCAGACATTAATTTATCACGTTTTCATTCAGTTCCGTCAAAATCTTTGACAGAATCAGACGCCATTTTTTGGCAGCAAATAAGAAGCAAAATTTCCCTAA